TTGACTTTTTTCACCCGACAATAAAAATTGCCGAAACTTTTACAATGATCCCTAATACCCTCCGAGAGTCCAATTTGGTGGATGGAAATATCCGATTTGTCTTTAAACGGTCAATTTACCGGTTTATAATTTGCACCGATTTCATTAACTCAAGCCTACTACGAACAATTACGACAACATATAAGGATCATATATGGTTCCAAACGGTATTATATGACCCCGAGATGTATCCCCTAAAATATCAAGACTTTTCTGCATCGGGGCCCTAAACCTTCAAAATTTCTCAAAAAGCGTGGATATTAATCTTCAATTTTGGAATTTTTTGACTTTTTTCGCCCGAAAATAAAAATTGGCGAAATGTTAACCATGGTGCTTAATACCCTCCGGTAGTCCAATTGGGTGGGTGGAATACCCTCCGGTAGTCCAATTTGCCTTTAAAAGGCCAATTTATCGGTTTACAACTTATACCGATTTCATTAACTCAAGCTTACCACTTACATTTGTGACAACAAATAGTGATCATATATGGTTCCAAATGTGAAGAGCCTACCACCTATAAGCAAGCTATGATGAGTCAAGACTCCGAAAAATGGCATGAAGCCATGAAATCCGAGATGGAATCCATGTCTGAACCCGACCCAAAGCCGATCCGTTTACCCGAATTGACAGCTCTATACCAAAGTTCTATCATTTGCTCATTTAAAGGATTAGCTAAGCAGCCTAAGATACTGTTGCAATGTAAATATAGCAAAAAAGGCTAACCTTACCCATTAATTAAGTATTCCATAAAAAAAATAGAATCAATGTATGTATTTGTAACATTATTTATACATTTAGAAATTATTATTTTCCTCTAAAAATGAACATATAAGTACACTTGAAAGACATATAAAAGTCAAAAGTCAACTGGAATTGATATATGATGTCCTTTTTAATGATCTTGTTGCTATTATTTGTCATGATATTTCAAGTTATTTGCTTCTATTTTAAGAAACAACTACTGATTAGAACCATGCAAAACATTATTTATTCTAAAATTGGAAGCAATTATCTCTTTTGGAAGATTATGGTCAAGTGTTAGGTGTCCTTTATGAGGAAGGAGGTGTTAAGGTAGGATGGCCGAATTCATTTAAGAAGAAAGCTAGCTATAGTAGGTCAACTTGGATGTGATATCTATCAAATTTGTGATTGTTAATCATGAAAAAGAATATTCATCAAGGTTGATTTCCTTTTTTTTTTTTTTTTTCTTTTTTAATGTAGGGGTTTAACAATCTAATATCTCATCTATAGACTATATATGTTACTAAAATGTTTGCTACTTCATCGTAAATTTTCAAACTACCCCATAATATATACTCCGCACATGCTAAAATATGTGTGCACTATTACGTATTAAGACATATACAAATGCATCAAGTAGGATTATATACAAGGTGAAACATGTATATAGTGTTTACAAATAATATTTAATATGGAGTACGAAATGAAGAGATGAGTATATACTTTAAGTCTTTAATTAATAACATGTCAGAAACGTAATATTTAACCTATGATAAAAACACGAATTGCGGACTTGGTTCATAATAAAGAGAGAAGTACAATGTATGCCATTGGGTTTAGTTTATGATGCTAAATTGGGACTAATTAGCTCAATGTTAATTGGCTTAATTTGAACTTTACTAGTTAATTGTGCTTGAGAGAATTCACAAGCTAAGACAAATACTTGATTGCTACAAACCTGGCCTAGAACAATGAAAAATTAGAGACCAAGTTAGAGAATCAACACAGTCCCCCCCCCCCCCCACATGCAGCATGTGTTTTACAATTAGTCAAATTAATTAGTGAGCTTAGTCCAAGAAATCACTTTGTTTTCCTTAATTATACAATTAATCTCTCCTTAATTAATAGATTACCAATAACATCAACGTACATTAGACTACATAACCATATGTTCATTTGCGGGGCCCACATGGGATTTGGTACTTTCAAAGGTTATTTGTTTAGCTATTGCTTAATCCAAGATCTAAACTTGCTTTAGTATGATAATTAAAGTGCAAAAGAATACTTTATTAATAGTGCACGAAATTCTATGAGATCGTGTTATATGGGGTTGATCTGTATAGGGGAGTCTAGCTAGGTCTAAGTAAAAATGCTTTTATGGGCTAATAAGATCCTACATAGATGTAATTAAATAAATACGTTGCATGTTCATATGAGTGTACTATATACTAATCCATGCATAATTACTTTATATAGTCTATAAGATTAGACGTGAGTTAGCTAAATCTCTTTAAAAGAAAGCCAAAATCTTGATATGGGGAGATCTGCCTATAATATGCTAGACACTAGTCTAAATTTGAGTCAAAAAGTGGTTCAAAAATATGCTAAACATTCTAATTACTAGAGCATATTTTGTTCTTGTGTAAAGTAACAATTGAGAGGTTTTAGGATAGGCATGACCACTAAAGTTGGAACCCATGAAAAATTCCATGAATCTACTTCATCCAATGCAAAAGTATGGGTTTGGATTGGTTCTAGATGGGACGGTTATTATAATCTCGAATGAGGTATAATTGAGCTGAAGTTTTAGATGTCTTGTGTACCTTATAGATTATAACGTTATATACTGATCCTATCTATTCAAGCATATATTGATGTGTATACTATAAGCATATGCCTATTTCTAGGAATACTCGGGGGTACGTAAAAATAAATTTGCATATGAAGTTTAGGTTTGGGTTTAAAACATTCTCAAAGTCCAACCCCCACCCAAAATATGAGTAGAAGAGAAGAGTGTTTATTGCTCTAGATATAAGGCAAAGTACAAAAAGTAGATGTGGCTGTTAGCACTTCCAAAAGGCAAACATTCAATTCTATTGGAGTTTGACATTAATTTCAAGGGGAAAATTGGAAATGGGTACTGTTTTTATCTTGATTACTGAACTGATGAAACGCAGAATTAGAGAAATTGCATTTACAATGAGTTCTAGCTTCCTGGTTCAAGATCTTAGGAAATAGTGAACTTGAACAATGGTGATGATTTTCTATGATGTGGGTGCATAGTTCATCTTGAAAAAATGGCAAGATTAAAAAAATCACTTGAAAAGATTGATCATGCTATATGGAGGATGATAAGCTATATATATATTATTACGGACAAGTGTACGACTTAGATACATTATCAAATAAAGTTCCTATCATTCAAATTTAGTTAAATAGAACGCAACCTTTAATGATCCGAATGAAGTTTATGAAATTTGCCCTATGCTTAAAAAAAATATGATTTGAATTTGCTCTCTGAATTTTATTTTCCTATAATTACACAATGTGCAAGTAAATTAGAGTCTTGATTTTCAGCAGAAAAGTCTGTAACAAAAGTTCACTGGTAGCAAACTCAACCTGCTGTAAGCTTTTATTAAAGTGGTATTAAATTGATGAACTTGAAGCTATTTGTCTTAACTAAACTTGGCATGTTTCAAGAATTGGGTAACAAACAATTAATTACGACAACAGCTGCTTCATAAAATCTTGGCTGAAATTGTCAAAAGTTGTACTTCTACTAGCAGTTAATAATCTCATTTACTGTCTCATCAAAATTTATAAGGGTTTTCTGAATTTCAATTAATTTCACCCAAAATTAATAGTTTATACCATCATTATTTTTCTTACGTATAATATAACTCGTGAAATATAATGTTTTATAATTGAATTTTTAACGTTACTTGAATTAAAGAATGTAACGTCCTTAGTTATTAGAGGTTGAGATAATACAAATAAATTAAGGAAGAGACCTACGGGGACATTATAATCCGAACTCTAGTCGATAATTTATAACTGTTGTTGTTATGATCAGGAGGATCAGGATGAAGAATAAGACAATGCCAGGGTGTTTGATCTAACCTGGAGTAGGAGTAGGAGTACCCTGTACCCAGCTGCGCAAGGTGAGTACTATAATGGCAATGGGATAGGTTGCAAAGGTTGGGCAGGTGAAAATTTGGTAGATAGATTACCAGTATACTTATCCAAATCTGTGATAATTAAACTATCATTAATTTTGTCTAAAGCAATTGTTAGTAGTTGATTACTCAAATTGATTGTTAATTAATTTTATTGGTAGGTTTTTATTTGAGAATGTGTACATTTGTAATGTTGGACCTTTGTGTCCTCCTTTGGTATAAATAGTTTGATGGAAGAAGTTTATTTAATGGTTTGTGCATGTTTAAGATTGACATTTCAAATGGACACAAAATTATATATGAGTTTCATCTCGACTGTTTTGAATTAAAAAGTTACGGTTGTAAATCATCTTAGTCACCACTATGGAGTGATATATTTTGATTTGTATCATACAAATCCAAAACTTCTGCTTACCACATTACATTTAAATAAATCTCAAAGCTAATGGCCGCCGTGCTATTTATATTGTACCGTTTTTATCGTACCATTTATACGTATACCTTTTTCAAGTATAAAATATAACATTTAGCAATAAGTCTATAACATGGACAATTGAACATGATCATCGTAAAGCGGCAATAATAACAAGTCATGGAGCATAATTTATTTTAAACATTATATATTTATCATATTTTTAAAAATGTTTTTTTTTTATCTATTTATTTTTTTTCTCCTCAAAGAAAAATGTATTTTTTTACCAAGTTCTTCGTATTAACTTTAATGAGTAATACAAAATCTTTGATACTCCGTAGTATATATGTTAAATGATACGGAGTATCTGTACTCCATATGATGCAACACAATAATTACTTTATTTTTTCTTAATTTGAATGGACGTATGTGCAACAATGCAATATATGATATGTTACTATAAATATCACTCCAATACTGGAAATAATCATAATTGCTTACATATTCTTGTACATAATCCGATGGTAACATAAGGTACAATATACAATCATGTAGATTTCACATACATACACCCAAAAAATAAATACTCTGTATATATACAATTGGACTGTATTTCTATGAGGCGGCATGAAATAAAACCCGAGTGTATAATAGACACGTTATGTCGTTGGGGCCTAAAATCAGAGTAAAAAAAGCCTAGAGTGGAATCTGAGTCTCTCTAAACTCTCTACCCCCTCTCTTCTCCTCTTCAACTGCAGCACTTTATTCTCTCTCCAAAAATTCGATACTTTGCCTTACTCATAACCAGCATAAGAAGAGGAGAGATTACACCCTGCCCTTCTCTTTCTTTATGTTCCCCACATTGTCTTGTTCTTCTTCTCTCAGAATCTCATTGTCATAAATCATAATTCATAATTCATAATACTATTATATACTTCTTACTTCATTATTTACTGTCTCAATCCCTCTCTTTCCTCTCTTCATTTGTCTCTTGCTATGTTTCTTCTCTTTTGGCTTCCTCTGTTTTTTCCCCTGTTTTCCCCCCCTTTTTTCTCTTCACTTCAAATTAGATTCAATGACTTCTGTTTTAACCAAATTCCTAACTGGGTTTTCTTTCTTTGACCTCCTTGTTTAAAACCCAGAAACCAATTTGATTTTGAACCTGTATTCTCTTTGTTAGCCTTGATTTCTTTCTCGTCATTTAAGGGGAAAAAAAATAAATACAACAAAAAGATTTAAATTTTTTTTCCCTTTTTCTTTGTCACTTTTCTTGTAAAGATCTAAGAGTGTAACCTTGATTCTTTTCATCAATCTATTATTGGGAATATTGCACATTTTCTAATTTCTTCTCATTTTCTAACAAATTTGTTGCACAAATAATTTCGATTTTAAGTACCCTAGAAAAAAAAATATAAGGGTGTGGGAAGTGTTCTTCCTATATGAAGTACTGAAAACAATGACTGATGGAAGCTCCAAAAAAACCAAGGTTTGTGTGTGTTTGTATAAGAAATGCTCATAAATTTTCCCTCTTTCATTGTGAAAATAGATTTATGAATTTTATTAATTAAATGTTTGTTTTTTTTTTTTTAAATTTCTGCAAAAATACAGCTTTCATGGCCCAAGACATTGGTAAAGAAATGGTTGAATATCAAGAGTAAAGCTGAAGAATTTCATGCGGATGATGTCTTCAATGAAGGTAAATTTTTACCCCATTTCTTGTTCAATTAAACCCCCAAGAACCATTATTTGTGCTGAACCACCCTTTTTACTAGGGTAAATTTCTGTATAATTTGATGTTTTTAACATTCTTGTAGACTGTGCAATTTCATCCTTATGCAGTAATTTCATCCTTATGCAGTAATTTCTGAATCAAAAACTGTTTTATTCAATTATTTTTCTGGTTGTATTGTGTCATGTATGAGCTCATATTTGACAGTTAAAGATCCCTAGTTAAGTCCCACCATTTTCCCTTTACAAATGCTCTTTTTCCCTCTCTTTGGGGCTAAGAAATTGGGTTGTTTGATTTCAGAAGTTGAGTGCAAGAATACTATTGCTTTTTAGTACCCTTTTTTTTTATGGGTTATGATTCTTTTTTCAGGTTGTGATGAAGATTGGAGAAGCAATTACAGGGAGAGAGAGGCATGCACTCTAAAGAAAAGCAAAACAGGTTCAGTATCAATGACATTATATTGCTTTTTGGACCACCCTACTCTTTGAATTTCCAAATTTATTCCTATTTTCCAAGAATTACTTTTTCTATTCAAACTTATGCTTTAATCTCATAATTATTGATCTTGTTCTTATGCTTTTTGTAAATCCTTGTTTTATCAGAAAGATCATATAGGAGAAGTTCTGACCGTGCTCGGCGAATTAAGGTTGAATTAGATAAATCTCAAGTTACTGATGTAGAAAATTATAGGTTAGACACCAAATTTCCACCAAAATGATGGTATCAGTTTTAATTTTTGCATTTTTGAGAATTTGTGTTCATTTTTCTTCATTTTTGGTATGGATGTAGGATATTTGTAGCCACATGGAATGTGGCAGGAAAATCTCCACCTAACCATTTGAATCTTGAAGATTGGCTTCACACATCACCTCCTGCTGACATTTATGTTCTTGGGTGTGTTTTTCATCTTCAAACTTCATATTGAGTTCCTTAAATATTTGCATTTTCTTGTATGTATAAGCCCTTATTGCTTTTTATTTGGATTCTTAGTTTTCAGGAAATTGTTCCTCTGAATGCTGGTAATGTTTTGGGTACAGAAGATAATGGTCCTGCTAAAAAGTGGCTATCATTAATTAGGACAACTTTAAACAGTCTTCCTGGTTCAAGTGGTTTCTATCAAACACCTTCTCCAATCCCTGATCCTATTGTAGAGTTAGAAGCCGATTTTGAGGGATCATCAAGGCAAAAGGCCTCCTCATTTTTCCACAGGAGATCATTTCAGTCACTGAGCCGGAGCATGAGGGTGGACAATGATATGTTGGAGCCCCAACCACGGCTTGATAGAAGATTCAGCGTTTGTGACCGGGTTATGTCAGGACACAGGGCTAGTGATTATGATCCTAATTACAGATATTGTTCCTCAGATGAAGAAAACAACAATGAATCACCTGTTGTTCCACATTGCTCACCTATGTCCTATTACAATGGATCTAACCCTGGGGAGGACTCTGAAAGACAAAGAGGTCAGTCTAGATACTGTTTGGTTGCAAGCAAGCAAATGGTGGGAGTATTTCTCACTGTTTGGGTAAGAAGTGATCTAAGAGATGATGTTCGAAATATGAAAGTATCCTGTGTAGGAAGAGGATTAATGGGATATCTTGGAAACAAGGTACTAGAATGTATTTTTGTGAAAAGTATGCCTTTTATGCTTGAAAGGTGGTAGGATGAAGCAAGAACTCTACTGATGCTGGCACTTGGTTTATAATTTTTGCAGGGTTCAATTTCTATTAGCATGTCTTTGCACCAAACGAGCTTTTGCTTCGTCTGTACTCATCTGACTTCAGGGCAAAAGGAGGGCGATGAGCTAAGAAGAAACTCTGATGTCATGGAGATACTTCGGAAGACTAGATTTCCTCGAGTTCCTGGCATGGGAGATGAGCATTCCCCTCAGCACATTATGGACCATGAGTGAGACCTCTTCTCAAGTCTATTACTTATGTATTACTTCTTATTTGGTAGCTTTGGTAAATAGCAGCTCATTGAGTCATTGGCCAACTTGTGATGTGTGTTAAATTTCATTGCAGTCGAGTCATTTGGCTGGGGGATTTAAATTACCGAATTGCACTATCCTACCGAACTGCCAAGGCTCTTGTTGAGATGAGAAACTGGAAAGCCCTGCTGCAGAAGGACCAGGCATGTTTCTGAATTACAAAGCATCTGGTTTTATCAGAGATTATTTTCTACATATGCAGAATAATACTTGGTCTAAATATTAAAGTGTTTGTGTTTTATGCAGTTGCGCATTGAACAGAGACAGGGTCACGTTTTTGAGGGATGGAATGAAGGAAAGATATACTTCCCTCCTACATACAAGTATTCCCATAATTCGGATAGATATGCAGGTGCTGATACTCATCAAAAAGAGAAACGAAGAACTCCTGCATGGTAAATCTAATGTATATTTTTCATATTGTATACTTTGCCTAATGATGTTGATATGTTTTGCACAAACCCAAATAACATTAAACAAGAATTATATTATAGAAGTCTTGTTAATTAATATTATGTCCAATATACATTTGGTGAGTAGACATGTGAGGATTATAACATCTGATTAGGCTGTTGATTGCCTGTGAAGGTGTGATCGTATCTTATGGTATGGGAAGGGCCTCCGTCAACTGTCCTATGTGCGTGGTGAATCAAGGTTCTCCGATCATAGGCCAGTTTACAGCGTTTTTTTGGCTGAGGTAGAGTCTCTCAGTCGAGGCAGAATCAGGAAAAGTATGAGCTGCTCCAGTGCCCGTATAGAAGTGGAAGAGCTATTGCCCCAAACACCTGGATACACAGGATTCAATTTCTATTAAAGGGATTGATATTTGAAAATCAAACAATCAGGTAATCTACTTTGCTCTTTTCTTTGAGGCATCTTAATATCACTTTCAAATTCTGAAAGTACCTGAACTTCTGTGCAGAAATACGTGTCGCAAACAATGATAAGGTTGTTCCATGAATAGGTGGACATTGCAAAAGAACCTTTGAAAGGTAGGTTACCAAAATAACAAAAGCATTACAATCACTTTGCAACAATCTTATCTTTGATTTTCCTGCTATACATCTGTTTCATCCTTCTGATGTTGCCAATCGCTTTACACTCCGTATCGAGTTTTCAACTTAGCAAATTTAGCATGACCCCATCGTTGTACGCACCCTTAGGAGGATACAAGCAAATTATAGTACTCATGTCTTTGAATTTAGTTGATCTTTTCCTCATTAATAGCATATTTGCACAATTTCCTTTTTTCCTCATATTTCACCCATAAGTCAAATTTGTGTCCAAATTTCTAAAGATAAGTAACATCTTTGTTTTGGTCCCCCTAATATGTAGGTAGTGGAACTGTTGCAATGGGTAATAAGTATAATGGTTGAAAGTGACATGTTACCATCTTCCTTCTCCCAAAAAAGGTTAGTTCTTTTACTCTTTCTGTTATTGCTGTTATTCTTCTTCTTGTGTATTTTTTCCCTTTGTCTAATTCTCTTTGTTCTCCCATAATTTTCTTCAGAAAATACAGGTACCCTTAACCTGTTATACTTTGGTGATTCCTTGTTACTAACCCCACAAGTCTGCAACTTGCCATTCTTTTCCACTGCCATTTAACCCTTGGCATATGCAGCTATGCACACAGTTTGAATCAAACAACAGCTGTAACGGTGAGTTAAACGACGAATTGGACTAATCTCTGCCAAATTTCACCCTTTTGTGTTAAAATTTAAGCTAACTTGTGAATCTACTTGATTTTATGCAGGGCAATGATGGCTCTATTCAAACTTGCCTACGAGCCACCACCGTCGTTTTGACACAGAATTACAATTCATTCTTGTAAAAACAAGTATAGAGAAGTGGATATGAGATGACAATAACTAGCAAGACTCAAGAAACGGTCCAACTGACATTTCATCACTTGTTAGTTGCTTAACTGTTAGTCAATTAGCCGGACTTTTACAATTTTAAGTGTAGAGTAGATCAAAGACGAACATAATTATTGTAGATTGTTGAATTGTATCATAAAAGTTCTGTATAAAACCATAGATCAGATTTTAGGAGATGGGGATGTGGGGTGACAATCATTTATTGGACAGAAATACAAAGTAAAAGAGCAAAGAAAAATAATTGGAAAATTTGATTGATCTATAAGCTACTTTTTACCCCCCTTATCCTTTTTCTTTTTCCAGTAGTTGTTCTGATTCTTCTTTTATCTACTACTGTTGATGATTTTACTGGCTAGTAGAAAAATACAAAAAGAAGTGATTTTTATGTTGTTTGTCTTCATATTCAATTATGCACAACTTTGCTGCTCCAATTTTCATGCTTTGAAATGTAAGTTAAAATTGATGAAGGTGAAAAAGAATCTACTTATTAAACACACATCATACTTCATGGCTATTGTCAGCTTCTTACAGAGATGTCATTATATGGAGCTATAAAGAGCATAAAAAGAACATAAAAAATAAGGTTTTATCTTCATTTTTAGGCAATTATGTGATGATTTTATTATCTTATTTTATTTTGTTATGTTCCATTTTTGAGAATTGACTTTCTAATCCAAAACTTTAGTTGGGACAATTTGAAAGCTAATTTTATACATGTACTTATGGTACAAATATGGATTTTAGACATGTTGAAATGCTTTCCCTTATTTTAATTACGTCAATCCAATTGTTTTTAGATTTTAACAATGTCATTAAGTTTAAGGTTTTCAAATATACCCTTTTGGGTGGTTGGTTTTAAATTTCATTGTTTTAAAAATGAAACCTACCAGCTATACTACCATGTCATGTGGGATAAAATCATGAAATACAATTACAATGAAGTAGTAGGTGTAATTGTTTGTTCTGTTATACTCATGTTCATAATTTTATAAATATGGAATATTACACAATAACACAATATTCATAGTCCATTACGAGCAATAGTTATTATAGCATATTCAACTCAGCTTATTTTTCTTTGTTTTAAATATAATAAGTTCAGATTAGTTCAACTTATTATATTTAAATTATACCTTTAATATTTTTCTAAAATGAAACTTTTAGCATTTGAGGTGAAAGATGAATATACTTATCTTTCATCAATAAAAGTGTTATTTTCTTTATCTTTAAAAAAAAAAAGAAATGAAGTATTGGATACACAAGTACTACTTAGAATTTGTGTTGGAAAATAGTGGTAGTAGGAAAATAGGAATGGTAAAATGAAGACAAAAAGAAGAAAAACACCCTTAAAGAATGGGGTTTTGTTCGAAGGACATGTCGCAGTCTCACTTGCTAATAGAATTCTGTGCACACTTTATCATTAGACATTAGATCATGTTGATTTGTATACGTGGCATTTCACAAGATATTTTTGTGGGTCCAAACATTCTTATTGGTCATTAGCTTGGCCAATTTTCCAGCTGGCACCTGTGCCCCACTCAGATATTGTCTACTTTTACTCCGTACATGTTGTAGACTTATACGGTACGAGTACTGTATTTGTTTTTTGGTTTTATGGATTTTCTACTCCACTAGATTTTGTTTATACAAATATATAAATCAAAACAATATTCATACTCCGTAATTTCTACAAACATCATATTCTCTTCATCTCTTTGACGTATATTAAGAAAAAAAATTATCTCAATTTAGTCAAATAAACATTTTTTTTGGTGTTCCACCCGATTCACCCTTTAGGCTAATTCGGATTCGGGGATCAGTGTCAAATAAACATTTAATTACTCTGTATAATCATTTACAATCTTATTCAACTATTGTCTTCGTATATTCTACAATCTTGTTAGTTAATTTATTTAATATTGTCTCCGTTCTTTAATGCTCTCTTGTATACGTTACCATACAATATTGTCCATGTTTTGTGGCACTATGTAATAGTGATTGATTGATTATTAACAACAAAGGAGTAGACTAATAGCCATTATAAGTGTATTAGTGTATATATTGAATGCTCAATTAAAATATAAAATGCTACATACAAGAATTTATGCATTCCTGTAATAATATGAGATAGTATATTATTCCGTACAATTTAGCCTATGCAGAGCTAAAGAGAGTTAAAGAGACAACGCAAAACAAATGAAGAATATAGAGTAAAGTAGGATATATGATAAGTGCAAATTCCAAAGGTAACCTGAATTTTGGTTAAGCCGACATAAAATGGACGTTGTTGAATGTTGATGGTAAAGGAGAATCTAACAAAGCCTGGTTTTGTTAGACCAGATGTGACTTGGACTCGTACTTGTCTTCTTTTTTTTTTTTTTTTTTTTTCTTTTTCTTTTTACTCGTTTTTTTAATGTGAAAATTATGAAAATTTTCTTTTTAAGAAATCCAGAATTTCTTTAGAATCTTCAGTGGCGGCCTTGATTTTGTTTAGTAATAGGATTATCCTTTTGCTTTCTACTAATCATTCATTTATGTGTCAAACTTACCCTTGTTAAAAAGGTGCAATTTTACTGATTCACCTTTTTATTGCTTTAAAGTCTAAACGTTCAAGTTGAACCGTTGTATAGTATATTAGTATGGAGTATGATGCTACGGAGAGTATTTATTGGAGTATGCTACATTACTCGTACGTATTAAGTATTTTAGCTTGAGCACATAATTACTATCCTAGGCCTGTAAAATTAAAGATTGTTAGGCTTAATTTTTGAATTCATTCATGGTCTTCAAAACACGACTTAAAGTATTCATACAAAGTATATTATACCTTATTCCCGTGTGAATAAAAGATTATACATAATATAAAAGTTGTTACGTTTATCTCTATGTGTACTGTATAAGAAAATGAATCATTTGCTAGATTCAATTTGTCGCATTTGATTAAATGAGATGAAAAAAATATGACGTAATAATAAAAATGAATTGCAATTTCTTTATGTTAACCAAATAAATTAAAGCAATTTAGTGATACAAGGGTAGTAATTAACTTTCTAACCAATGCAACCAACCAACGTACTACTCTATGCTGACTACTCAAAAAGTCGTAATTTTATACGAAATCTTTAAAGGTCCCTAAAAATGCAATAAATTTTAGATCAAAGTATTATTAGCTATTATTGAAACCATAAATTAAAGAACCCTAGAGGGCCTAGGCTCAAGTCACTCATTGTTATTGATCATTATTTGCCTCTACTAAAAAATACTCATGAATCATGATATATAGGGTAGAGTACTCGAATAAAACAATAACTTCATAGAATCACAAGGTGTAGTTGCCCCACTATGAACCTATTAATCATTGAGTGGTCCCTAAACCCTTGATTTGGTTTAATGATATAAAGATATGGCTTGATCATCATAATTAGCTTAATCATCCATTATTGTTCAATTGTGCTGCTTGAGAAATACAACACACTACCTGCTATATATGGAATAAAATACTATGCAATCTCGATCTTTGTATTTAGCCCCTAAATCCATATTTACTTTGGAGAAGAGTTGTTAAAAGAAATGTATGTATGTAATATAAGGTATTTAATGTACAAGTAAAGTTGTAATCTCCATAAATAGAAATAGAAACGAGACAATGTTTTAATGACGATTTTAAAAGTGACCTGGATAAATAATTAGTGAAATAATATGTGAATGTGTGATTGTTATTACGTTTTAGAGGTCATAATATATTTCACCTACTCACAATCAAAATATTAATATGTGAATGGTATTCAATTTTTGGATCGTGCTGATGTTATGCAACATACATGTATAGTAGGAGTCATCTTATTAATTAGTACGAGGGCTAATTAGCACTTACGCATACATAATTGCATATATGTGACCATTCACGTGGTAGGATCATTCACATCTCCCATTTTTATGCATTTATATGCACGTGATGATCACGTGAAATCATGGACCAGAAGGGGACTGTTCTACTCCTATACCATACCAGTTTTTAAGATTTTGTAAAATCAATGATGCAATATTTTTTATAGGAAAATCAATTATGCAAAAGTTATTTAATTAAATAATTCATTTAGTTATCTTTCTCATAGGGAAAGTAGTGGCCTAGTAGAGCGAGGACCAATGAAATGAGAAATTCTAAAGCTATAATAGCTTTAGGCCCTGTTCTTTAGAGCTGCTCTGCTCTACACTGCTCTGCTCTGCTCTGCACTGTTTTGCTCTGCTCTGTTGCAGTGTGTGAAAGTCTAGCCCTGCTCTGCACTACTCTGCTCAGAAGCTCAAAAGAACAGGGTCTAAATTTTGTTCATATCAAACTGTGTTTAGATGTTATGTCAGTTTATACCTTGACCTTGTTGGCTTAGCTTGTTGCCTAGGTTTGGTCTTGTGATTTGGTGCTTTGACATGTTTTCATAGTTCTAAAGTGATTTGGTGCTTTGACATGTTTTTATAGTTCCAAAACAACCTTTTATGGCCCGGGGAGATAGGCCACACATTTACTTCAACTTATGGGAGTATTTTCCAAATTTGGTTAGAAGAGAATAGATTATAGCCTTTAGTTGTAAACAATATATGTATGACCATTACTAGAGCTGTTAAAAGTTGACCTGATCTAAAATACCGACTCAAATCCGATTATTAACCGAACCACATGAACCCGAAAAAATGGTGACCCAAACTCGACCTGACCCGACATGAAACCAACCCTAAACCTGAGTTGACCCAAGTACGTGAGACCCGAACCCGAACATGAACTGACCTAGAGATGACCCGACCCGAATGTAACCCGTAAATTATTGACCTGAACCCAACTCGACTTGAACCGATATTGACCCAAACTCATTTTAACCCGTCAAAACCCGAATTTAACCCGACTTGTTACTAACCTGACCTAAATTCAACCCGACCCGTTCCTAACCCGATCCGAATTTAACCCAACCTATTACAAACCCGATCCAAAATCAACCCGACTTGTTATTAACCTAACCCAAATTCAACCTAACTTAGTATTGACCCGACCCAAATTTTACCAGACCTATTATTAACCCGACCAAAAAATTCAACCCGATCTGTTACGAACCCGACTCGAAATCAACACGTCTTGTTATTGACCAGACCTAAATTTAACCCAAATTGTTCCTGGCCCGACTTCAAATCACCTAAAATACAATTTAGACCACCTTATTATTGTTGATCAAAGCATTTTGTCTAGGGAGACCAAGTCGGTCCAGGTCAGCAAAAGAAAGGAGCATCATCCTCAAATTTAAGAGTTAAATATAGTATATATTTGTTGTATGGTCAAAGGAGATAATTATCTTCCTAAATTATAGACTATAGTTCCCTAGTATATTTCCATAAATATTATAATCAAAGGAAACAATTAGCTTGATAAAAATGATAATTATCTATTTACAATTAGTTGAACCCTAATATGACCTGACTTGGAAATGACCCGACCTGATTGTAACCTGCAAATTATTGACTTGAACATAACCCGACATGAATCCGAGAATGACCCGACTTGGAAATGACCCAACCTGATTATAATCTGCAAATTATTGACTTGAACCGAACCCGACTTGAACCCGAGAATGAACCGACTTGAAAATGAACCGACCTGATTATAACCCGCAAATTATTGACTTGAACCAAACCTGACTCAAACCCGAGAACGACCCGACCTGATTCTAACCCGCAAATTATTGACTTGAACCGAACCCGAATCGAGGACTCCAAAAGTACTCAAAAAGCGTGAATATAGCCTTCAATTTTTTAAATTTTTTGACTTTTTTCGCCCGAATATAAAAATTGCCGAAATGTTTACGATGGTCTCTATTATCCTTCGGGAGTCCAATTGGTTGGGTGGAAACATCCAATTTGCCTTTAAACGACCAATTTACCAGTTTACAACTTGCGCCGATTTCATTAACTCAAGCCTACCACATACATTTATGACAACACATAATGATCATATTGAAGGAGTTATGTCTTCGATAAGTGCAATTACTAGATATATCAAGGATCACTATTATGGAGATAATAAGTTCATTCTATAGGGTCGTCAATGTTTGGTGATAGATATGACAATTGATCTTTGGGCTAGATTAATTTCCCAAAGCCTTATAGAATGGATCCTACAAGGTCACACATAAGAGTATTGGGTTAAACAAGTTAGAGGCCCATTATTGGGCCTCATGAGTACATGACATAATTGGGCTTGGATAGTTAGAATAGTCTAATGGGTTTTGGACTTGACATGGTTTTATTTCTAGATATGATCTACAAATATAAACCATGCCTAGGGTTGCATGACACAACAATTGACATACAGTAAATTGTCACACAAGCAACCAAGCATCCCAAAACCCTAACTCTCTCTCTCTACTCGGCCCTTTCTCTCTCCTTTCTGTTCGTACGACCCTCCCTTGTGGGTGGCGCGTGTGGTGGTGCGTGGGTGGTGTTGTGGTGTGTTCGTGGCTCAAATCTCTGTTGAAGGTTGATTGAAGTGTTCAGTCACAACTAACTAGCATTAGTGGAGGTTTAATCCATGCTCGTGGACTAAGTAGAGGAATCACGCTTGGATTTCTTTATCTCCCATTGTTCTTTCTCGATCGCACGTGGAATCACGCTTCAAAGGTACGATTATATGTTCTTTATGTGTTATGCATTAGATCTTGGGATTAGGTACTGTATGAATATGATTCATGTTTATTTCCGCTGCGTAGTACCTATCTATAAACCCCTACACATATATGGTTCCAAACGGCATTATATAAACCCGAGATGTATCCCCTAAAATCTAAAGGCTTTTCGACACCGGGCTCCGAAACTACCAAAATTTCTCAAAAAGCGTGGATATTAGCCTTTTTTTGGGAATTTTCTTACTTTTTTCGCCCTGAAATAAAAATTGCCGAAATATTTACCATGGTCCCTAACACCCTCCGGGAGTCCAATTGGGTGGGTGGAACCATCCTTTTTGCATTTAAACAGCCAATTTACCGATTTACAACTTGCACCGATTTAATTAACTCAAGTCTACTACGAACATTTATGACAATATATAATGATCATATATGGTTCCAAATGGCATTATATGACCCCGAGATGTATCCCCTAAAATATCAAAACTTTTTGACACCGGGCCTCGAAACATCCCAAATTACTCAAAAAGCATGGATATTAGCCTTCAGTTTTGGAATTTTTTGACTTTTTTTTTCTCCCGTAAATAAAAATTGTCGAAATGTTTACCATGGTCTCTAATAACCTAAGGGAGTCCAATTGGGTACGTGGAACCATCCAATTTGCCTTTAAACGACCAATTTATCGATTTACAACTCTCACCGATTTCATTAATAAAAGCATACCACGAACATTTATGCTAGCATATATATAATGATCGTATATGGTTCCAAACGACATTATACGACCCTGAGATGTATCCCCTAAAATCTCAAGACTTTTCGACACCGGGCCACGAAACCTCCAAAATTTCTTAACAAGCGTGGATATTAGCCTTCAGTTTTGGAATTTTTGACTATTTTTGCCCGTAAGTAAAAATTGTCGAAATGTTTACCATGCTCTCTTATACCATACGGGAGTCTAATTGGGTTAATGGAACCATCCAATTTGCCTTTAAACAGCCAATTTATCGGTTTACAACTTGTACATATTTCATTAATTCAATTTTACCACAAACATTTATGCCAATATATAATGATCATATATGGTTTCATACAACATTATATCACCCCGAGATATATCCCCTAAAATCTCAAGGCTTTTCGACACCGGTCCCCGAAACATCCAAAATTTCTCAAAAAACGTTGATATTAGCCTTAATTTTTGGGATTTTTTTTTCGCTCGGGAATAAAAATTGCCCAAATGTTTACCATGGTCCCTAATATCCTAAGGGAGTTCGATTTGGTGGGTGGGACCATCCAATTTGCCTTTAAACGGCCAATTATCTGCTTACAACTTGCACCGATTTAATAAACTCAAGCCTAACACGAACATTTATGACAACATATAATAGACATAAATGGTTCCGACACTACGTGAAAAAACGCATTTGGCACCGGTTCAAACCCGGCCTAAGGCACCGGTTTGAACCCGTGCCTATGTGGGGGGTGCAAAATACCCCCCTTTTTGGCACCGGTTCAAAACCGGTGCCATAAACCGGTTTTGGCACCGGTTAACCGGTGCCTTAACTAATTCCGCGAAATAAATTTTTTGGGTGGAAGCTCTTTTAGGCACCGGCTAACCGGTGCCTTTTTGGTATTATTATTATTATTATTATTATTATTATTATTATTATTATTATTATTATTATTATTATTTTAACTTTTTTCTTGCAATAATAATAAAAATAATATACAAACAAGTTAACAAACATCAGAAATACGAACCAAAAAAAATGATAAAATACGGAGTCTTGATCAAAATTGTTATAACATCAAAACAATTGTAAATCACATTATATTCAAGTAAATTGTTATTGTACAATACAAAAAAAAATTAAAAAGTTACAATAAATTATAATGAAATTCAACTCAGAAATTGAAATTGTAAAACAATAAAAAAAAAAATTACAACATCAAAACAATATTCCAAAAAAAAAAGTCTTGAATCCTTGAATTGTAGCATGAATTAACACCTGCATCAATAATAACCCAGAAATTATTAAAACTCAAAAAAAAAAAAACAAGAAATATAGAAAACCCAGAAAACTCATGCATGCAAGAGAAAGAGAAAATCAATATAGAAAACCCAGAAAGCCGCACAAACATTGAATTAACCCAAAACTTTCGAAAATCAATTAACCCCAAAACTTTCGAAAATCAATTAATCTAGAAACTTTCGAAAATCAATTAACCAAGAGCAACAATTAACCCCAAAACTTTCAAAAATCAATTAATCCCAGAAATTTCAAAAAATCAATTAAGTGCAAATTTACAACAATCAAACCCAAAAAAATTAAGGCAATGAATTATAATTACACCAATAAATTTTGAACAATATTACAACAATCAAACCCAAAAAAATTAAGGCATATAACATAAATAATTAAACAAACTTGATTGACTTGACTACCTTAATATTTTGATGATTGACTTACGTAAAACAAACTCTGACTAATGATGTTTATGAGTCTTGGTTGAACAGAAAGATTCAGGTACACAAATACATGTTCCGGAGTAGGAACAACAGAGTTTGGAAGACTTGATGATGAATGCAAGCTTTCAAGATGTCCTCACAACTCTATATACTTAGTTACTCAGTGTACGAGCTTAAGAAACAAAAATGTTGGAAGGAATGGAAGGAATTAAGAAGAAACTCGAAGTTCCTGAAGGAACCTGAAGTTCCCGAAGGAACTTGACGATTGACTCAGAAAGTTTTAAACGAAAGTTTTAAAACGGTTTTCAAAACCCTTAATTTAAGGAAGTGATAAAAATCAGTTTTGAAAAAGATTTAAAAAGATTTTATAAATAAATAAATAATTCATTAATTTAAAAAGATAAGTTTTAAATTAATTAATTATTTATCTTTTAATTAATAAATAAATAATTATCTTTTTTATTAAATAATTATCTTTTTGAATAACTGATTTTTTTGACTTGGTAAATACTGGCTCCTAGTATTAAGGAGAACGTTGAACTTGGGAGTCAAGCTAAGGAAATCATGTTCCTAAATTTCCTCTGCCTACATCCCAACTTCTCAGTCAAATAGAACGTGGGATTAAGGGGGAAGTGGGAACTTGATGGAAGCTTGGTTTAACTCCTTATAAAAACAGATCAACGTTAAGTTTTGAAAGCGTGGAAAAACAATCTTAAGTATTCTGAGCATAGAGTTTCAAAGTGTTTAAAAGAGAAGTTCCTTCCATCCTTAGTCTCTTAAGTTCTTTAGGAAATACTTGTAATCATTGTGTAATTGGGTTTGGGTTGTGAGAGTTGTAAAGTGTGAGACTTGAGAGAGTTGTTTACACTGTACAAGTGATTCGGAGTAGAATCACAAATTGTGAGAAACTGTGATTGAGGGATCACAGTTGGGTAACTTGAGTTCCTCACGAAACTTGAGTCTAGGCAACGTATTAGTGATTGTAAATCATTTTTACAGAGTGAATTTATTCATTGCCTATATCAGTGTCTTTTCTCTTAGTAGTAGATTTTAATTCCGCAAAATTTACCATAGTCTACATACACTACAATTCACCCCCCCTTGTAGTATACATTGTTCTATCAGTTGGTATTAGAGCAAGGAACTCGGAAAAGCAGGAAGCCCTGTCGAGGCAAGTTCCTGGAGGAACAATGTCTAAGGACGAGAGACTAGCTGAAGGTTATTCTACACAAAGACCTCCACTCTTCAATGGGAAGTACTACGCCTATTGGAAAACAAGGATGGAGATGTTCATACAGTCTGAGAATTATCAAGTCTGGCGAGCTATCGAAGTAGGAGATTACGAGGTAACAAAGACCAATGCAGAAAACGAGGTAATTCCTAAACCTATTTCTGAATACGATAGAAGCGACTTTGAAAAGAAGGAGATTAATGTTACTGCTAAAAAACTCCTAGTTTGGGGATTAGGACCAGATGAGCATACCCGAGTCATGGGATGCAAAACTGCTAAAGAAATTTGGGATTTGCTAGAAATAACCCACGAAGGAACTCATGAAGTAAAACGTTCTAAAATAGATATACTACTTTCAAAATATGAACGTTTTGAAATGGGTTCAAAAGAAACTATTCAAGAAATGTTTACTCGTTTTAAAAATATTACTAATGAATTAGTTTCTCTTGGTAGAGTTATTCCTATGGATGAATAGGTACGCAAAATTCTAAGGAGTCTTCCTGAAGATGAACGGTGGAGATCCAAAGTGGCAGCTTTGCAGGAATCAAAGGACTTTACAACTTTTAACCTTGAACAACTTGCAGGTTCTTTGATAACTCATGAGCTTCACCTATCAAACAAAAGTCAAGAAAGCTCAAAGAGCCGAGGAATTGCTTTAAAAGTTGCCCAACAAAGTGAAGAGGATTCCGAATCTAGAGAGGAAGAAGCTGCTATGCTAGTCAGGAAGCTAAAAAAGTTGTACCGCAACAAAAGGTTTGGTGACCAAAAGAAAAGGAACTTCAAGAAAAACCAATATTCCAAGGAAACAGGAGGATGTCACAAATGTGGGAACACAGACCACTTCATCAAGGAATGCCCTCTCTGGGAATCAGAAAAAGGAAAAGGCAAAATGAAGGAACATGGAAAATCTTATACTCTTAACTTTTCAAAATCTGATTACAGGAAAGCCATGATAGCTTCGTGGGGAGACACAAGTTCCGAGGATGAAGAAGAATCCATTGAAGAAGAGACGAAAAACCTATGTTTGATGGCTAAACACGGTGAGTCTGCTAAAAAGTCAGAGGAGGTAAATCTGGAACCTAAATTTCTGAAATCCTTGTCAAAAGACAAATTAATTTCTTTGCTCATAGAAACATTGGATGAATATAAAGAAATATGTCTTAAACTTGGACAAAATGAAAAAGCTCTAGAAATCTATAAGGATCATATGAAATATTTGAATAGTTCAAGAACAGATGTTCAGGGAAGATTCTTTGATTTGCTAGATAGAAACACTATGCTTAAAGAAACACTGGAAAGAGTCAAAAATGAAAATATCATGTTAAATGTTGAATTGACTCAGTATAAATTGTTATGCACTAACATTGATTCTAATAGTGCTCTTCAATTTCCTTTAGTAACCTTTAATGATGATCTTGAAAATTTGAAAAAAGAATTGCAGGTTACTAAAGACAAAAATGAATCCCTTGAAAAGGATTTAGAAAGAGCTAGAAAAAACAAAAGTGCAATCCACATGGGAGTTCCAAGGTGGATATCCGAAGCTCAAACCAAAAGGACAGAGGGTTTGGGTTTCAACCACAAAAAGAAGAATAGTGGTAAAAAGAAAAAGTACGTGGAACTCCCTAGTGAGACTGTGTGTTCCTTCTGTGGCAAGTCAGGACACAAAGATACTGATTGCAAAAGAAAGGAACTTAAGTCCACTAAAAATATAGCTTATGTATGGCAAAAGAAAAATGAGTTTGCTGTATCAACAAAGGAACCCATGAAAGATGGGGTTCCTGAATCTAACCCTTAGTTTCTTTTGCAGGTCGTAGTGAGGGGGAACAACCAATGGTACCTCGATAGTGGTTGTTCCAAGCACATGACAGGAGATAAATCAAGATTTCTCTCACTGACGGCCTATACAGGAGGAACAGTGACCTTTGGTGATAACAAGAAAGGCAGCATTGTTGTCGTAGGAAAAGTTGGAAGGTCAAGTTCCCAAGCTATTGATAATGTTTTTTTAGTCGAGGGCCTCAAACACAGCTTATTAAGCATATCACAATTTTGTGATAAAGGAAACTCTGTAAGTTTTGATTCTGAAAAATGTAGCATCATTCAGAATGACACTGGGAAAGTTTTGCTGGAAGGAACTCGGAAAGGAAACACTTATATAGTGGATCTCAATACAGTTCCGAGGAACAACTTAACTTGCCTCAGTGTCATTGAGGATGATCCTTTACTGTGGCATAAACGTTTTGGTCATGCAAGTTTCTCTTTGATTGATAAGTTAAGAACAAGGAACTTGGTAGAGGGACTTCCTTCAATCAAGTTCCTATGTGACAAAATTTGTGACGCTTGTGTGAAAGGAAAGCAGGTCAGTTAATCCTTTAAATCCAAGAAGATGGTGAGTTCCACGAAACCCTTAGAGTTAATTCATATGGATTTATGTGGTCCTATGAGAATTCAAAGTAGAAGTGGAAAGAAGTACGTCTTAGTAATTGTTGATGATTATTCTAGATTTACATGGGTTATTTTTATGTCTAGTAAGGATGAGACTTTTGACGAGTTTGTTACATTTTCCAAGAGAATTCAAAAGTCCACAGGTCATCAACTGATACACCTTAGATCCGATCATGGCACTGAATTTGAGAATTTTAAATTTGATGATTTATGCAGGGAACAAGGCTTAAGTCATAATTTCTCAGCTCCAAGAACTCCACAGCAAAATGGAGTTGTGGAAAGGAAGAACAGAACCTTAGAAGACATGGATCGAACCATGTTAATAGCCAGCGATCTTCCAAGGAACTTCTGGGCAGAAGCCGTGAATACAGCCTGTTATATTATAAATCGTGTCATGCTAAGGCCTATATTAAATAAGACACCCTATGAACTGATGAAAGGCAGAAAACCGAACATATCTCATCTTAGAGAATTCGGTTGTAAATGTTTTGTGCATAATTATGGTAAAAGAAACATAGGGAAATTTGATGAAAGAAGTGATGAAGCCGTATTTCTTGGATATGCTACTAACAGTAAAGCGTATAGAGTTTACAATAAACGTACTATATGTGTTGAGGAAAGTGTGCATGTTATATTTGATGAAACTAATCCACTTCCATGTACACAGGAACATGAGGACTATGACTTTGAAATTGGTCTAGTACGTTCTCAAGAACAAGAAGAAGATGCAATAATTCCAAATAAGCAGCCAACTCGAGTAAATGAAAATCATGAAAATCCGGAGAAGGAACTCGACATACTGACTGAAGTTCCTTCGACAGAACAACCTCAGATTGAAGAACCTGCCGAGGAACCAATAACACAAGAGGAAATCACTGAAGAAGAAGAAACTGGCTCAGAAAATAAGAATAGTCGAGTTACTATCCAAACCTTCCAGCCCAAACCTTGGAAGCACCAAAAGTCACACCCACTGGACAAAATTATCAGTGACTTATGCAAAGGAACTCAGACTAGATCGCAAATGAGGAACTTATGTGCCTTCAATGCTTTTCTATCTACTTTAGAACCTCGCAACCATAAAGAAGCCTTAGAAGACCCTGACTGGATTATAGCCATGCAAGAGGAACTTAATGAATTCAAAAGAAATAAGGTATGGCATCTTGAACCTAAGCCACTAGATAAGGTCATAGGTTTAAAATGGGTCTTTCGAAACAAACTTGATGAATATGGTACAATTGTAAGAAATAAGGCTAGGTTGGTTGTAAAGGGATATAACCAACAGGAAGGTATTGATTTTGAGGAAACATTTGCTCCTGTTGCTAGACTCGAGGCTATTAGAATTTTAATATCTTTTGCTGCTTTTATGGGTTTTAAACTGTATCAGATGGACGTAAAGTGTGCGTTTTTGAATGGTTTATTAAAAGAAACAGTTTACGTCGATCAACCCCCTGGATTCGAGAATCCAAACTTTCCAAACCATGTTTTTAAACTTGATAAGGCTCTCTACGGGCTAAAACAGGCTCCAAGAGCATGGTACGAAAGACTGTCCAAGTTCCTTTTGGAAAATGATTTTAAACGAGGAAAAATTGATAAAACTTTGTTTTTAAAATCTAAAGGAACTCATCTCTTAGTTGTGCAGATCTATGTTGATGATATTATATTTGGTGCAACTAACGAATCTTTGTGCAAGTACTTTGCTGACTTGATGTGCAGTGAGTTCCAAATGAGCATGATGGGGGAACTCAATTTATTTTTAGGACTGCAGATCAAACAAACAAAATCAGGAATATTTATACATCAGCAAAAATATGTCAAGGAACTCCTGAAAAAGTATAACCTTGATAGCGCAAAGACTAACCACACTCCTATGGGAACTAACTCTAGGTTAGACGAAGATCCCTCAGGAACTTGTGTGGACCAGACAAAGTACAAAGGTATGATTGGTTCCTTACTATACTTAACTGCAAGTAGACCAGACATTTCTTTTAGTGTTGGTCTGTGTGCTAGGTTCCAATCAAACCCCAAAGAATCGCATTTAACAGCCGTCAAGAGAATACTGAGATATCTCAAAGGAGCTGACAACTTGAGTTTATTCTACCCAAGAAGTAACACATATGATCTTACTGGATTTGCCGATGCCGACTATGCTGGGGTTTTGGTGAATAGAAAAAGTACATCAGGTATGGTCCAATTCCTAGGATCTTGTTTAGTTTCTTGGAGTTCCAAGAAACAGAATACAGTTGCTCTATCCACAGCAGAAGCAGAATACGTAGCAGCTGCTGCATGTTGCTCACAACTGTTGTGGATAAAACAACAATTACGTGATTTTGGCATAGTTCTTGAATGTGTTCCAATATACTGTGATAATACAAGTGCTATTTGCATATCAAAAGATCCAGTACATCATTCACGTGTAAAGCATATTCATGTTAGGCATCATTTTCTAAAAGACAATGTGGAAAAAGGCTCTATTAAACTAGAATTTGTACAAACTGAATATCAAATTGCTGACATTCTAACAAAGCCTTTGAGTAGAGAAAAATTCGAAAAGATGCGATTGGAACTCGGAATGATAAAGCTGAATTGAGCAGTTCTTCTTAGAACCCCAAGGTATGTCTTAGTGAAACGACTGAGCATTTCTATATATAACCTTAATGTGAAAAACATAATCTCGAATCTTGCAATGAAAGAGTGTGTAATTCTAATGAGTATGTGATCATGTGATTATGTTGATGAAGAAGACAAATTAAGCCATATTATTTTCCAAGTTCTTTTTTGTAAAGCTCTGTACATGTTAACCAGTATTTTACTTTGAAGTAACTTACTGGAAGTTTTTTTTCTTTCGTAATTTTTATTTTTTAAAATTTTATTTTTATCTTTTTAATTTTTTTTTGTTATCTTATAATTTTAAAAACAAAAAAAAGATTTTTTTTCTCAATTAGATTCTATCTTATTTTTAATTTTATCTTTAATTTTTATTATTGTAAGTAAATCACAAAATCCTTTATCTTACCCCACTAAACTTTCAACCATCATTCATCTCTGACTTCACCCCACTTACCACACGCAACCCATTCACCTCAACCGTCACCTCCATTAAAACACCTCACCTCCATTAAACCCTTCATCTTCTCCAATACACTCACTGAAATTTCCTCACCTCCAAACTCTTTCCTCAAAACTCATCTCAAACCATGAAAACCAACCTAATTTCAAATCCAATGGAGCAAAGATCCGGAAAGAACACCACGAAGGAACCAAAAAGAAAAACCGAAGAATCAAAGGAGAAAAAAGGAAAGAAGAAGGTTCCTCGCACCTCGTCCTCAAAAACCCAACAAAGAAAAACCGACAAGTTCCTACTTGGGTACGCAATTGACCATGATTGGTGCAAGGCTTGTAAGTTTTCGGAACTTTTGGAGATTTTAGATTATCAAAATTGGATTTACATGTTGGATTCGTGTGCAAAATCTCAAATTTACCCTAAGTTGATGGATGAATTTTGCTCCTCTTTTACTTGCGTTAATGGTGTATGTAGTGCTATCGTTAGTGGTGTGGATATTGAGTTTGATGCTATTTATTTGGCTAAATTGTTCAAAACCCCAAATTTTGGATATCGAACCTATGTCAAAAACAAATCCAAAAACACCGTTGATGGCCACAATGAAACCGAAATTATCAAATTTATTGGTGGAAACCCAAAAGTTACTACAACTAACCACAAAGCCTTAACCTCTTTACATAAACTATTGTTCAATATTATTTGGAGAGGAATTCTTCCTCGTTCCCAGAAACGGAGTACTGTAACTCTGTTAGATGCATCCCTCATTTTCTGTTTGGCGAAGAAAGTTAGTATTAACTTTCCTGCTTTAATGATAGCCCACCTGGAACATTGCATTCCCGACTTACACATACCCTATGGTTCCCTTTTGACAATTGTGTTTAAGGATTTGAAAGTTCCTTTGCCACAAACCGAGAATTACATTCTCAAGCCTGAACACATCCCTCAAGAAAAATCACTGTTAAAGCTGAATTTAAAAGTGGTGCATGGGAATGTTTGTTTTGCATCTGATGTGAAAAGTGAGTCTGAGGGGGAACATAGTGAGGGGGAAGGAGAAAAGAGAGAGGAAGATAGTGAGAAAAATAAAGAAGAAATTGGTGAGAAAGAAACAGAAAAAGATAGTGACAAAGAGGACGAAGAAGAAAAGAGTGATGGGGCAGTAGAAAAGAAGAGTAGAAAAGGAGAGAAAACAGAAGGTAAATCAGAGGAAGCAGGAGAAAAAGAAAAAGAGAAAGACACAATTGGAAAAGAGAGTGAGAGTGAGGAGGAAGAGGATGATCAAGAGGAATTAATGAAAGAGTTGCTTAAGGAAATTGGGGGCTCTGTCAAACACACTGCCCCTGTAACAGGCAGAAGAAGGAGAAGTATCAGACTTGCTACATCTAAACCCAGAACCCTGCAATCTGAGCCTGTTATTTTTGAGTTGGATGATGATTCAACCAAAGTTTTTGAAGGAACTTCCATCCAAGTTCCTCAGGGTCCCTCCTCATCTGTTCCAGAAGAAACTCCATCACCACCTCCAATTCCATCCCCTGCTCACCAAACCACACCTTTTCCACCTGCTTCACAGCCTTGTACTTCTGGTTTCGGCTTCAGTGCTTTTAGCTCTGGTCCAAGTTCCTTGCAAATCCAGGAGGAACTTCAGCTTTTGTCCACTACACTTACACAGAGTATAACTAACCTTTCTTCTAAAGTGGATAACCTGGCTACTAAAGTTGAGGGGCTGCAAACTCAGATGCTTTCTCTGGAAGATAAAGTAAATGCTCATATGGACTCCTCGGCTCAGGAACTCAAAGCTAAAGTGAAGCAAAGTTGTTACAAGACCATTCTCGATGCGATCAAGGATGTTACCTTACCATGAAGCT